CGGGCAGGCAGCAGCGGGGTGCCCGTGCGCGGCGTCGCTCCGCGCTGTCATCACCCACGCGCTGCGTCCCCCGGCACGGGGACTCGGGCGCGATGAGCTCCAGGGAACTCGGTGGCCTCCGGCAAACTTCTGCGCACGGAAACCATCCCAAAGCCTCACGTTAGTAACCGGTGCCAGTCGACACAGACATCTCACATAGCAGAGACCTGAGCTAATTCCCTGGTCCTGCCTCTGGCTTCCCCGCCGGTGGTGCAGAGCAGGGGGTCGGGAAGGACGGCTGACATTGGAGAAAGCTGCCCAGACGCTGTGCCAGGCCACGGGGAACCGTGAGCAGAGCCCGCGCCAGCCGGGACCCAGCAGAGGCTGCAGACACTCGCCCCCACGGCTCCTTAGGGACAGTGCTGAACATCCCCCCCGTCCTCTGCACCCACCTGGGACCCCCTGAGCCCTCCAGGATCCCATGCTCAGGTGGAAACCACCCGGCAGGACACAGAGTGCTTTTCGGGTATGGAAAAGCATTCACGTGGACGAAGCTAAGCCCTCATAACCGATGTCATCTGTATGAGCCGAAGCCAGCAGCTATGTGCAAGCGCACAGGGTGTGGGCAACAGGTCCCGGGTGCAAACCGGCTTCCCAGGAGGAGCTCCCGGGAGGCAAGGGGGGGACAGCAAAGCAACAGTAGCCAAAACAGAGCTGGGATACAAACAATACCCCGTTATCTTTAGTCAGCCAGACCGTGAGATAAACACACTGAGAAAGGGGCCAGCAGGACACACCATAGACACTGGAAACTCCCTTTCAGCCAAAGAAAAGCGCGCAGGGGATGGCCTCGCTCTCCGCACGGCTGTCACGGCCCTTCTCCTGGCTTTGCTGTGACCAGGCCTGTGTGCAGAGCTGGAGCTGGGCACGGCGAGGGACTGAGTCACCCTGCTGAGATACAGGAAGGAGGCAGAGGGCCAAGTCTGCTTCTTTGCCACCATTGAGCAGCCTCAATGTGGTGGACCAACCGTGGGAGAAAAACATCCCAAAACGGCATCTCAGGGGTACCGCTGGGGGGGGGAGGGGACCTCAGAAAGCCAGGGACGAGCCGAGGAAGGAGCCCGCAGTCCATCCTTGCGTGCTGTCGTCTCTCCTGCACGAGCATACGAGCACGAGCTGGGCATTTAGAGAAGAAAAGCACAAAGAAAGCACGAATCATAACCACGGCACAGAGGACCCCGTCTCCAGCCCTGGCCACCCCCTGCCCCAC